AGCCCCGGCTATGTTTCCCATTATGTAACCCTGGTCATGGGCAGACAGCCAGACTCCAAATGAAAAAGAGACTCTGGCTTGGCACCGGTTCTATTTTCCTATCCTCATTCGGGGTCAGCGCAGTGTCATACAGCTGCAGAGAAAGCTCCGGGGATTAAACCTGGGAAAGCCTCCAAGACCAGGACCTGGGTTCAAGTACCAGCTGAAAGCAATAAACCAACTGCCACAGCTGGGCTAGGTTTGGATGTTCTCAAAGTCCCCTGACTCTTTCACTTACTGAGAACTAGAGATCAAGATGAGGGAAGATTTGGCTTTGGCGGAGCCTCTGAAATGAGGTAGGTTGTCCCACTGCCCTCGCCTTGCCAAAGGTCCTGCGATGCAAGGGGGCTACGCGTGGGCTCGCGGAAGCCCGTCGCTCTGCTCCTCTCCGCCACCTGACGTTCACAACGGCCTTATGCTCCCTGGGCAGAGTCGGGAGTGGCTGCCCCTCCCCTCTCACGAAAGCCCTGGTACAGAATCTGTGCTCCCCACTCCTCCTCCAACCCCCAACATGTGAATGGCCCCTCCAAACACTGTGATCTGTTCTAAACAGACCAAAGCACTCTACACTGCCTTTTACAGTGGCTCAAGGCAACTTTCCACATCCTGCAACAATCCTCCATACCCAAATCTTGGGTACAAAGCCATCCCATTACAACTCCTAACAGACACAAATGGGAAGTCAACGTGCACACGTGCCAACGCCAGCCTACCAAGTGCCGCTGTGTGCAGAGGCACAGATGGCTCTGAAGCCCTGCCCCTGTCACTCGGCAGCATCGGGGAAGTCCTGTCACCATCAGGACAAGTGCTCCATGTGTGCCCAAGTGGCTCCTGCGAGGAACAGTCAATGTGACCAGAAAGAGGAGGAATATGGGCCAAGAGGAGAGAACCAGGGAGACCTCATGATGTGGTTTAGAATTCCCCTGAGAAGGTGGAGGATGCTTCGGAGTGACTGACTGTGCAAGGAACGATGGTAACACAATGAAAGGCAGAAGGGGAATGAAGGAACAAGATTAATCAAGGGTCCAAATGTGTCAAGGAGACAATGTGGGAGTAGGCATTTCTGGAGGAGAAGAAAACTGAAGCGTAGGCTTTCTGGTCACCTTAGTTTAGGATCAATGAGGAATCTGACCTTGCAGAAAACATATGCAGGCACAGACTAATGAAAACACACAAAGGAGAGGTGTTAGGTGGAAACGATTTCATTCCTACTCTCTTGAGAACATTCCCAGACCTTCCAAACTGAAGAGCAGCACAGGGACCTAGTGTGTCAGAGGGCTGGATTTCTGTTCTGACATCTACAGAACTATCTGGAGTATGTTATTCCTCACAGCCTTAAAAGAAAAAGGTTCCACAGTATGAAAGATCGGTGGATGGGAGATATCATTTTGTAACCTAGAGAAGAACCACCAGACCCTGCCAATCCCTCAACTATAGCATCCACTCAGTGAGTGTTAGGCGGTTACATGAGAAACCAGAAAGAAGGGAGGTAAATTCTTACTCCACTTTTCCACAGCTTGGATCTAATGGCTATGAGGTGGGGTGATGGTCAGACCAGGTCTGCTTCATCCAGTGGCACCAGCCCTCAAACCACTGCACTTTGTGGTCAGGAACCGGGATGGCAGGGCCCCTCCTCTATGCTTAAACTTGCATTCCAAAGACAACCAGCCACTGATTCTGACTGCAAAGGCAGACAGTGCAGGAAGGACTCTATTCTCTACCACACTGACTTTTCCAGACTAGTCTGGACTCATCAAAGAGTAAGTTAACAGCTCTAGGAACTTGTTTACTAAGCCATCAGACTCACATTATTTGGTCAGATTTGCTATCCCTGTGAAGGAAAGTCTGGAAAGACTGAGCAAATTTGATTGACATGTCCCAGCCCCCTCTGCCTCTCTGTGGCCTTGGAGGTGAAGGCCAGTTGGGGGTGGATGTAGCCTGGACCACGTGCCCGGCTGCAGACTGAGCCCTTGCCCAAAGATGGGCAGCAGCTCGCATGAGCCGGCAACGGTCCATTTGCTCCAGCATCCACAGAGAAAACAGACTCAGCACCTCGAGCAAGTGAGGCCCAGCACTTCCTGTGTGAGCTTTCCATTTCCTCGCCCAAACAAAAGCCAAGAGGGTGGGAGAGGAAGGGGGGGTGAAGGGAGACAGGTTGCAGCAGAGAGGTTAGCCAGCCTGATGGCCAGGATATGGGGAAACGACCTGGGTGGACCATATCTAAGGCTGTGCGGTAGAGTGACCCAGGGAAGGCCCGAGCTCCAGGAGCAGATGGTCTGCCTCCCCCCAGGTCAAGGGAAAGTGAGGAAGACACTGTGATCCCTGCACATGCTCAGAAGCAGTGGCTGGAGATACTTAGTGAGCAAGAGTCCTTCCTTGTCAGTTTCTTTCCAGAACTGCAAACTGCCTAGTCGGCATTGCAGATTAATGGCCTGAAAAGTCGGAGGCTGACATGTTAACTCTTCAGGGAATGCTGCTGAGAACCGGCTGCCCCAAGCCAGATCAGCCCGTTCCTTTGTGTGTCCACAGCTGACCAGCTCAGGGTTCAACTCTGGCTCACGGGTCCTCAGCCTGGAGTGTGTCCTGGAAACTTAAAAGAGGGTTCACAGGAAAGATGCAGAGATTTGTTTGGTGCTGTGAGCGTCACCCACAGGGTTACAGAGCCAGAGTTGGGGGGTCCTGGGGAGGGCGGGCTGAATGGTCCAGGGGTGGCTTCCTGGGGTGAGGAGCAAGGGAGAAATATGAGGAAGGAAAGGCAAGTAAGAATCAGGCTCCAGAGTCCACACGGAAAGGTCAGTTAACTGCTGGCCAGAAACCTCTGCTGCAGAAACCTGTGTGTGTCACCCAGAAGCCTGGAGACTCCCATGGCATGGCTGGCCCACAGCCCAGAGAAGCACCCCTGCCCACTCTCTAGAAATGTAATGTACCATCCCAGCCATCCATCCTCCTCCTTCCAGTACTCTCCCCCTCCCAGGGAAGAGCACTAGACAAGAATGAGAAGACAGTGAGCATGGATGCTTGCTCCCGAACACACACGTATATGCCCAACACAGAGCCTGAAAGAACTGTGAGTGTACTACACCTGCCAGAGACCACAATACAGCCAATGGCAGAGAGAGGGATGGGAGGAGGGGAGAAAGGGAGACAGAAAGGTCGGACAGAGAGAAAAGCCGAGGGAGAGACCAAAATAGGAAAAGAGAAAGAATAAGGGAGAGAGATGGACAGTCAACAGAGCTGACCAGAAACAGGCGCCTGGGTGCACACGCATTAGGATGCTCTTAGGCAAACACAAACACACACATACACGGTGACCCAAACACACAGAAGAACAAGATGCATAGGAACATGGATATATAGAGAGCAGGAGCCGGCAAACCTTCTCTGTAACGGGACAGACGGTAAGTACTGTTGGTTCTGCAGCCCATATGGTCTCTGTCACAACTGCTCAGCCCTATTACTGCAGTGCAAGAGCAGCCGTGGGCAGCGGGTAAACAAACAAGCATGGCTGTATTCCAATACAGCTTTATGGACCCTGAGAAGGGGCTTTCATATACTTTCTGCAAGTCGTGAAGTCTCATACTTTTGATCTCTCTCTCAACCATTTAAAAATGTAAACCATTCTTAGCTCACGGGCCACAGCTTGCTGACCCCTGATACAGACACACACAAACAGCGGGGAGGGAGGCAGGAGAAGAGGCAGGCGGGAACAAGCTGAGACGGGCAGGAGGAACAGACAGAGGCAGGTGGATGGACACAGGAAGACCCACATATAGAGAAAACTGCCCCCGCCCCCAACAAAGAGACCTAAACTGACACACAGAGACACACTCAGACAAATATGGACAGGGACACAGGCAGGCCGGGGCACAGACGCTCAGGAACATATACAAACACTCCCATGGGACACAGCCCCATAGAGAGAGACACGGACAGGACCAAAGCAGAGATGGACTGACATGCGCCCAGACATATATATGAACACAGAGACATGGTGTCAGACACACAGTCAAACAGATTGCTCATGGGGACACAGGAACCCTGCAGAGACCCACACATGAAGACAGAGACCCAGACAACAATGTGGACACAGCACGTGGACACACACACATGCACAGACATGGAAAGGCACACCAAAAGAGCCTTTGATAGACAACCCCCCCCACACACACACATTAATACAAAAAAACCCTCACCATCAGACACACACAACCAGACACAAACAGGCACACACAGAGCTACAACTCACACACTGCTACGAACCCAAGAAATCGCTCTATATGGCTGCGCAACAACATGAATGCACTGTAGACTTAAAAATGGTTAAGATGGCAAACTCTGTCGTATATATTTTTACCACAATTTTTGTAACAGAGAGAAAAAAGTCGTATGGACACACAAAGAGATCTACATAGACACACCCAGCAGACACACATTTTCCCCACATCAACATCCAGAGACAGGGAGACGAGGAGGGAAGTGCTGCGGGGGATGGGGATGAAGTGAGTGGGAAAGCGATGTATGCTCTCACCCCCCACATACACCACAGCATCATGAGAGGGAGGCAGGGAAACAGAGTGCGCAGGGCAGCATGAGAAGCGGCAAGGGCCTGAGAGATGCACGGCGATGGACGAAAGGGAGAGAAGGAGAGGGCCTCACACAGTGAAGCCCACGCAGACCTGGGAGGCAGCTGCAGAGACGGTGAGCATGAGCAGTGCACAGTGAAAACGCGCAAGATCAAGGGCAAGGGCAAGGAGCACAAGAGAGCAAGCCATAACATGAGAGAGAAAGACTGAGAGGGGGAGGAATGGACCAGGGAGCAGGCAGAAACCACCTGACACCTCAGGGGCCCTGGGAGGTGGTCACGGAAGGAGAACATCCAAGTTCCAATGGAGAGGGGAGACACAGGGCAGCAGGCCACAGGAGGGGGGCTGTGGGAACACGGGCGGGCAGGGCTGACTCACTGTGAGGGCAGGTCCAGGGAGGTGGGCGGAGGGTTCCAGGTGTCTGGGTAGCCGAGCATCCAGTCTGACCAGACCTTCACACTGGGGAGCAGTTCCTTCAGGTCCGGGACAAAGGAGGACACCTTGATGTCATCTTGATCCTCCTCCCCCTCAGAAGAGGACAGCTGAGCTGCAGAGGCAAAGGGTAAGAGCTGGGCCTAGATCTGCAGTGGCCCTGTGTGCGGCCTGGGGCACTGGGATGTCAGCCAGCTCCCAGGGAAGGGAGACCACGTCCACAGGACAGCTGGGCCCAGAAGCGGAGGACAAGTGCCAGCACCTAAGAGGATTCTGAAAAGCAGGACAAAGAGAGAACCAGTGCACTGGGTCTGCCCTGCACACAGCTGCCTGTGCTCCACCTGCGGCCTGGGGACAGGGTCGCCACCCTGGCCTCCAGCCTCCCACCCACACCCTCTAGCCTTCCTTCAGCACAGCACTGACATGGCACCAGGGTTCCTGCTCAAACGGAACAACACGAATTTGATGGTAAGGAAGTATCAGAGAAATCCAAACAGTGGGGCGTTCTACAAGATAAATGTCCTGCATACTTCAAAACTGTCAGGAGCACAAAGAACACAGGAATACTCAGAAACCATCCATGTTGCAGGAGACTATAAAGAGTCTTGACATCTAAATGCAACAACTGATCCTAGAGTGGATCCTAGACCAGAAAGAAATATTTTTTTAGGACAACTGATACAAACTCAGTAAGGTCTGTAGAGTCAATAATAGTACTGTATCAACGCTGGCTTCCTGACTGTGATAACAGTACTGTCATGTAAGAGAAGGTCCTTGAGACTAGGAAATACACAGTCAAGTATCTGGTGCTGGAAGGGGCAGGGCAGGGAAGCTACCATGTCTGCAACTTACAATCAAATGGTTCACAAAGAAAATAATATGTATATGTGTGTGTATGGAAAGAGAGATAACTTAAAGCAAGTGTGGTAAAATGTTAACAATTACGGAGTCTGGGTGAGGGGTAAGTAAGAGAGTATTATTTCTGAAACTTTTCTGTAAATTTGAGATTCTCTCCAATTAACCTCCCTCCCTCTAAATAGGGGGCCCCAGTGGCTAGAGGCACTCCCATAAGGCTGATGTGGCTGGGGAGCAACAGAGGGGCCTCACTACTCATCACAACTGATCCAGAAGCTGGAAGGAAGGTGTACCCTTCAGCCCTGCCTTACACGGCCCAGAAGTCAGACTTGGAATTCTAAGGGCAGACTTAAAGGACATGGGGACACTGCTCAAAGCAAGGGCTAGAAAGAACCCCTGATCTGGTCCAGTGAGTCTCCTGCAGATGGTTGGTCCACGGCAGTTATGGCCCCTACCAGGTACCAAGCAAAGAGGGACATACAGAAAGAGGGGGAAACCAAAACATCAGTTATGAACATCAAGGAAAACTCATTCTTCAAGTTGCATGAACACGCAGCAGTTCAGAGGTACAGTGAAAATCCTGTTGAAAAGAGAAGAGAGACAGAGGATGAAAGAAGTCTCCTCTCCTTTCCACAAAACGGAAGGAGGGCCGGAGAGGAAGTAGGACTAGCCAGGTAGGCAAAAGGAAGAGGGCACGCTGGCAAGAGGGAGCCCGGAATAGAGGGAGAAGACACGGAGAATGCAGCGTGGCCTCCTGAGCATGTCTGGACAGGACCCAGGAGCTGGCAGGTCCACCAGCCAGGGGCCCGCGTCTGCTTACCTTTGGCCGACTCCTTCAGTAAGTAGGTGCAGCGTCGCACCAGGAGAGAAAACATGGCCAGGCCCAGGGCTGCAGCCTGCTCCTGGATCACAGAGCGACACTCCTCCGAGAAGCAGTCTGGGGAGGGGAAAGGCAAGTCCATCAGTGTCCTGGGGGCTCAGGGCTCTTCTCCCCACCTCATCAGGCGGAAGTCCTTGGTCGTGTCACTGAGTTCCTTTTCCTCACCTAAGCCTGGGGCTGGAAGATTCCCACTCTCAAAGGGCAGTCAAAAGGTTAAATAAAGTATCGTATGTGAAGCACTCACCAGTATGCCTGGCATGTGGTAAGTGCCCGATATGGTTATTATAGGGCTCCCTGGTATAAATTCTGTTTCACACCACTTCCCCCAGGTGCACAGTCGGAGCCCAAACTGCATGCTCTCTGCTGATGACATGAATCACAGTTAACAGGAAGTCATATTAACTCAGTCTCTCTAACGTATAGATGGCAGGAATACAGTCACCAATTAAGATCAGAAAAACACAAGTCATTAGAAGTCATTTTCTTGAAGCACCACCCTTTGATTCCAGCCTTACCTTCTCTCTGTTCCTCCTCTTCAGGGAACACACTTAGAAATAATATATGTTTCACTGAATGAGTCAAATTTTATAAAGGACAGTGCTTGGCACATAATAAGCACTTAAATAAGTATTAGCTTTAATTTTCACCTATTCATTCCTGTAGGGCTAAGAAATAAACCTGGCTTCCGACACTATCAGTCTATGCCCCTCACTTCCTGAGCCTGACCAACTTCCTTCCCGCTGTGGGTCAGGGAAAGGAGCGACCTTGGCGGTGGCCAGGCCTATCCTTTAGCAGGAGCTACAAGCACATACACCTGCAAACCCCTGTCCGTACCCACTCCCTATCAGCAGCCCTCCCTGATGGTCACCTCATCCAGCCCTGAGAGAAACAGGCGACAAGCAGACGGCAGCAGGCCAGGCTGCAGCCTCAGGGGAGGAGACCCCTATATGTGCAGGAGGCAGAATCAACGGCCAGGCTCGCTTGCTCTGGCAGCAGCTGATCTGTTAATTTCTCCTGTAATACGGGAGAACTCTCAGAATCTCCAAGTGTTAAAAGCATAATAAGCTGCACGTTTGATCTCTGTCCCTGCTTGCATTTTAACCTCAGAAGTCAAGAGGGAGCCCTCTCGCCTCTCCCCTCATTGACACTCGGCTTTTCAGTGGGGCCTAATTGAAGTCTTTACTCCAGGAGATGCTACACAACCACAGTTATTCCTAACTGTCTTGGCCACAGGAGCAAACATGACTGGAGTATGCAAAGCCAGCCCCAAACCACTTTAGAAAGCCCTGGGGGTGAGAAGGAACAGGCTGCTGCTCAGAAGGTCCCAACATATGACTAGCATCAGTGTAGCAATTCTCCTCTTGTGGTTTTCCCACCAGCCTGCCAGATGCCCAATGGTCCCAAATGTCACCCTCGAACCTTCCAATTCAACTGTGGCAGGCAGTAAGGAAGTGGTAACAACCCATGTGATTAGAATAGATCGCCAGCCTCCCTCCTTCTTCTGGTAAGGACCTAAACCTCTGCTAGAGAGACAGGAAACGAGCGTCCAAGGACCAAGCAGAGGGAGGGTGGACAGCTGGGAAGGGGGAGACATGTAAGCCATCCCAAGGAAGGCTGCCAGCTTCTCCCCTCCATGTTCACAATAGGCAACGGCACTGTCTGAATCCTGGCCCAGTCCAGGCCCCTGCCCACCACTGCCAGCAGCCTGCCTCTAAATAGCAACAAAGCCCAGAATGGGAGAATAAGTCCTGGACAGAGGGACTTATTAGGAGAGGATGAGTGGAGGCGACATCCTGGCAGATGACACAGTGAGTACACATTAGTGTCCCCTTCATCAACTGAACATCTTAGGCAGAAGTTGTTGTTTAGTTGCTAAGGTGTGTTAGACTCTTTGTGACCGTGACCCCATGGACTGCAGCCCATCAGGCTCCTCTGTCCATGGGAACTCCTGGGCCTAGGCAGAAGTTACCTGCACACAGAAGGCCCTCAGAAGAGATGGAAGTGGGTATCTGAGCTCTGAGGACTGACAGAAGCCCAGGACTACAACAAGATACTCTCATCAGCCTTGATAAAGATAAGACAGGGTGAAGAGAGATGACTTTCACCAAGACCATTTCTATTTTTATGATAAATGGCAGCCTTGAGTTAGACTCCTTCTTAAAGTGCGCAAGGCGAAGGCTCAAGGGGAGAACCAACTACTTAGGAATGACGACCCTGAGGCCTCTGGGGAGTCCAGCCTGGCTCCTTTTTAAGCCTCCTACAGGAAGGTCTGGGGACCAGCTGAAGGAGCAACAACTGGAGCCTCTCTGCTATGTCTGGAAGGGATTGACCACCTCAGGGCTGTGGCTGAAAGGCAGCCGCATGACAGCTCCGCTCCTGGCCATGGTTACATCACCTCACCCTTCGCCCTTCACCCCTCCTTCTCCCTAGAAAGGGCCTGACAGCACTCCCTTGCTGTGTTTGGGTCTGAAGGATGGGGAGGTATTAATACAAATCAGTACGCTGTCATGTGCTGATCACGCAGGTGGTGATACCACAGTTATCTCTGGGAGTCAGAATGCCTGGGTCTTGGTCAGCTCTGCACATAGAACACTTCTGGAAGGCCTGCCCTCCTCCAGGGCTCAGTGGTACCATAAGCACATACTGAGCACCTACACATACAAAGTTACAAATAAAATAGGGTCCCTGCAATCTTAGGACCTTCCAAATGGGTTATTTATTACTCCCAAGTAACCATGGTGACTCAGATCGCGTGCCTCCAGTGAGAAATGTATTAAGTGCTATGGTATCTTCAGGAGATGCTATCCGCCTCACTTAGGTTTCTGTGGGCTAGAATCTGTAAGATGCCAGTCCTTGAGAAGGACCCACTTGGTGCAAGTGAGCAGGAAAGCAGCATCCAGGGTCCCAGGCCCACCCATCCCAGGTGAGGCCTAGGAAACTGGCCCCACCCTCACAGAGGCCCATATATATCCCTGGAGAGGGCTGGGCCAGGCCAACAAGTGATGTGGGGTGGGGAAGGAAAAAGCATTGTTCGCCTTGGTATTTGCCTGGGTTCCTCTGGCTTTGTGTCAGGTGGCTGGAGCCTGACAGGAGCTGAGGAACTCATTAACACTGTGAAACGGCCTTTCCCCTTCTTTCCAAAAGCAGGCCTGTTCAAGGGAGTAGGGGGAAGCTTCTGGCTGAGGAAGTCAGACGGAAATGTCTCGTACCAGAGAGTCACCTGAAGTCTGAACCCCTCCCACACGCTCTCTGAGGGGCAGGTGACCGCGGCTCCCGCCACTCCTCTGGCCAAATACCTGCTCAAGCAGAAACACTCTTCTTGCTCCTATTAATGGAGAGACCTTCCCATTTTTCTGAGAACATATTCATGGAAAACATAAACCAACTGTCGTCAAAGTTGTATGAAATCAGGAAATGGAGCGGCCGGGAGAAGGCTGCCATGTGGCCGGATGTTATGTATTTCTAATTAGTGCTATACATCTTTCAACAGCAAGTGTCCTTCTGCTGGGAAACACAACACACTGCCCTTGTTATTGTAACTGTCAGAGAAGTGCTTAAACAGATAATCTCCAGGAAAAGTGATAAACACGGCCCCTCTCCCACCCGTGTGTGCACGACGGTGCTGCCAAAGCAAAGCTGTGCTTGACGGCTCCAGGATGGCAGAACGGTGTCCTGCAGGAAATGGGAGCAAGGCAGGACGGGGGAGAGGGGAGCGGTGCGGAGGCGAGGCAGGCCCACCTGCCCGGACCCGTGGAGCCCGGCCAAGGGACCGCAGTTCAGAACCATCACTTCTGATCGGTTCCTGGGTCAGGGGGAGATCTGGAGGAAATCAGATCAGCAGGGCTGAGGTTTGGCTGGTCATGGAATAATCTGGCAGCAACGGACAAGCAGAGTTTGCCTGGCGCACATAGCCAACTTCCTAGCAAGAGAATAAGAGGAGTAATGAAGACACAGTACAGATGACACATAAGTCTGATACCCCCACAGCCACAGAGGGCATTCGGAGGGCACTGGGGTCCACTCGCCATTCCAGCAGAGAGGACCAACTGTTTGCTCAGCGGCCTCACTAACAGCCAGAGAAAAATGCAGGCAAGACCACTTATTCACTGATTCCGTCCCCACTGGCTCCTCCCAGAGAGAGGAAATGAATGGTCAGTCACCTCCAAACTAACACCACCTGGAGGCGATTTGTTGGCTCTTATCTTTCAGACATGAGGCTGCTTTTCTCATGAGTCACTCACCAGTCAGACACAGAGCTGGCACCGCTCCTGAGCAGCCCACCAAAACCTCCTCGTCTACAGGAAGTGGGCAGTGAGAGCATCTTTCGACTGCTGCTGCTCGAGCCACAGTTCCCTGTGGCAGCTGCTGGCTGACAGGGAGGTGGAAGAGGCAGTCGCTTTTATAGGAACCAGACAAAAATCTCACAGCAAAAGCAGAGATGTCCACGCCATCAGGGCATCATTTTATTCCCCAGGGAATAAAACTCATCATTTGAGAGAATGGTGAATGAGTCAGAGAAGTCAGGCACCAATACAGCCAAGCAAACTATATTCATGCACAGTGGCAGAATGCAGGCTGACTGGGGAGAAGGCAATCCAGGACGCATCCCTGAGTAAAATCTGTCCGAGACAAGACAGAGGAACATGGGAGGGAATGTGTCTTCTCTCAGAGACCCTACTGTCCTTCTGGATTTTCTAGGATTATAAACTAACTTTCTCTTAGCAAGCAGGTAGGTGTCGGGACAAAGGAAATCCCAACCTCCCGACCAAGTGACCTCTCCCATTGACTCCACAGTTGTTGATTTGGTCCAATTGTGAAGGATACAATGGAAAACAGGATACTGTCCATGAGAAGATGATATTCTAATGAGGAAGACAGAATACTACACAGACAGCCAAATAACTGTAATTTAAGACCATATATTACGGCATTCCATAAGGAAGGCGGAAATAAGATGCTTTCTCTAACTATTTCCTGCTGGTGTGTATCATGGAAGGTTTTGTGGAAGAGAACACATCCATGCTGCAAAAGATGAACAAAGACGGAGCGCGCTGAAG